CGATTACTCGATTAATCGTAAGAATAATCGATAGATTACTCGATTACTAAAATATTCGTTTACAACAGCCCTAGACGGAGCACAACTGTAGTCTACTATACATGCACATAGAACAACTTAGAAGCCTACTTCTTTTCTTTGTCTGCTTAGTGCCATTTTTCTCCAGGTTTTCTTCCTCCGTCTTGCGGTCCCTGCCTGGACAGGCACAGACACGGACCTCAAAGCACCGCCTGCCCAAAACCTCCCCCCTAAAGTCGAACAAGACCAAAAGGAAAGGCTTAAAAAAAGAAAGAAACACACACACACAACCAAAGCTCAAAGAGAAATGTGAAAATCCTTTCAAACACATTCAGAGTGAAACAAACCTTTACGTCCTGCTGGATTCCATTTATCAGCTTTACTAACACGAGACCCAAACTACTACAGCTAACATTTTATCGACCAATAAAGACGACGACTCACTCTGGGGTCTCCAGGGTCAGGATGGTGAGGATAGGCCTCCGGTTCATGCCTCCCATGCAGGAGCTGTTGCACATAAAGCTCAGCAGGATGGTCGTCATCTCAGATCCCCGCTGAAACAAGGAAACCGTACATGTGGAAAAACTTCCTGGAGTCTTCAGATAAACAACTTTATATGTTGAGAAGCCCTGATTTACTAAATGACTAATTGTAGCATCACAACGTTCCACTACTTGCATGGATCAACGTTGTCTCATGTGGTCAAATATTCCCACAGGCATTCATGTTTAGAGAGCCGATTTGACCGAATCTGTTTTTGTTTATAAAGCTTTGATATTTATACTTCTAAATGTAAAAATAAAAGTCATCCCTGTTTAATAAAAAGCTTAAAAATATTCTATATAATTTCCGTTAATTCTTTTTCTGAGGCCCTGGACAAATCAGATTTAGTAAATCCAGAGTAAAATTAACTCCCAGGTTTGTAAATAACTATAATCCATTTTTCAGTTTAGACATCTGACTATGACTTCTATATAATAATTCTTTTATACGTGTGATAAAATCTTCCATTAAAGTAATGCACAAAGTGTAGAGTGGTTCTCTCTGGGACACCTGTGGGCGTTCGTAAGGCACGGTCACGCTCTGCCTTTTGGTGTTCGGATCCTCAAAGTACTGGGCCAGCTGGCTGCCCTCCACTCGGATCAGATGGCTCTTGTTGTCAGACGCTGAGGAGAAGATTGAAGATAAAAAGCTGAATACGTCCACCTGTGCATCACATTCGAACAAATACAACTCTTTAAAGGATTAAAATGCTCCATACTGTCTTCACTTTGGTGGTGTGGGCACCTCTTGACGACTTCTGCCACATGCTCAGTCTTTTTATACACGGCCGTTGCTCTGATGACGGCGCCCTGCGGAGGCTCCTCCTTAACCAATATCCCAATTGGAGTGGTCTTAGCCAGCTGGCAGAATAGTTTGGTCAATTTTTCTGAAAACTAGAGAGACAGACACAGACGTTCCCATCAGTGGTGCTGCTTACCGGTGTGGATTCTGCCCAACAAAAACTTTACAACCAGAGTCAATTCTACCCAAAACTGTTCACTAATGCTTGGTTTCAAAGACAATCAGAGGATCGTTCCACCTCGCTCACCAAAAGCTGAGATAAATCAAACTTCTTCGTCATCTACTTTTAACCCTTTCTGTTCTGAGGGGCGCCTCTGCAGGAACATGTCCCGTCATGTTAGAGCTGTGCATGGCAGCCGAGCTGCTCCTCTCACACAGCAGAGTACCGGTCGCAGGGGGCGGGGGGGAGTTTCGGTCCAGACCACCCCAACTTCAGCAGAACTGACCAACCGTGAGCCAGAGGCGATCAGCCAGCGAGGAAACACCAACGCCATTGGTAGGTTCAGCTCAGCGTCGGCCTCCAACCCTTAAACTTTAGCGAATCGCCACAATGAACGAGGCACTGTCTGAATGCCACCGCAAGAGATTTTAAAGAATGGATTTTTTGATGCAGAATCGAGGTAAGAATTGTTCTTCACTGTTAATTTACAAAGTTTTAAATGGTTTGCAACACTAGATAAAAATGTTTTAAATTAAAACTTTTTCCTGATAAGTGAACTTTCCTTTAGTAAATTAAAACGGACCAGTTTGAGCTTTGAAGAGGTTTTGTGGAGGGAAGGAACGATGTACAGAAACGTGGCACTATGGAAAGCTCCATTGTCTCAGATTTGAGGCTCATTTCTGCTCCTCATCATGTTTGATTGTAGAAAAAATCTCCCAAAACATATAGTTCTGCAGTTAGTCATTTTTTATCACAAATTTAGTCAAAAAGGGTTAATATTTAATACGTTATGGTGGGATTGTACAGTTAAGATTTCAACAAATTAAAATATGGAAAATATATGATGAGCAACTTACCGTGGAGGTAACACTCTTCGCAGTACCACAATCATTGAAATGGAGCGCAAAATCAAGTTCCCCGGCATAATTCGAAATTGCGGGGACCATTGGGGCTGCAGGCACATTTTTAGTTTCCTGCTGTGGGAGTTCTCCATTCTCCCAAAAATCCATATTTAGATCCTTTAAAAAAAAAAAAAAAAGGCCAAAATGAAGAACAGAATTACCACAAAGAAAGGCTGAATCAAACGCCGCCCTCTTCATTTTAATTTGATAAGTTTAATCTTTACTTTCTTCGAATGCTTACCAGCAATCCGTCACCTGTAGCCAAAGACTCATTCTCAGTCGACAAAACACTGAAAAAGCAAACGTACAAAGATGAGTTCAATTGTAATCAAGTAAACGTACTTTAAAATTGCCATGTAGAGTGAAAATGATATTTACACAGTGTTCCATAATTCATGGAAGGTGTCCTGGCTCAAAGGGAGGGGGAAGTTGGTCTCCATGCTCCCTTTCACTGTGTCGGCAAAAGAGGAGATAAGGAGGAAGAAAGAACTTATTATGTGATGGTGAGGTGTACAGCGCTCCAATCAAAATGACAAGTCTATGCTTTGCCAGTTTTGTTATAGTTTCACGGTAATGCTAAAAACAATATTCACATTAAAAAAGTAAAAAAATTAAATATTTAATGTTAAATATTTTAACAGTGTTGTGTAAAAATTAGGGCTGTAGGATAATATCGATATCGCGATATATATCGATATTTTCTTTCCTAGAAAAAAATCGATATTCATCCGCAAGTATCGTAACATCCAACTGTCATCTTGCTCACTCACTGCTCGCTTCGCCGGGAGAGTGAGTTGGTCATCAGGCTTAGAGTGATTCCTTCAGATGTTAAGTGTCAAGGTTAAAAAAGGTATCAAACTATTCAGAGCAGGGTGCTTGGTGCACTTTATTTACTTTATAAATCCATGTAAGCTACAGTTTGTACTGTTTCAATTAAAAGAAACATGTTTTCTCACCACTTCTTTGATTCTTTTTGTCCAGCTGTCGACTTTGTCTGTGTCCATGTCCAACCAGAGCCAGGTTGGTGTTTTAATCAGTTTTCAGTTAAATTAATTCAATCCAACTCTATAACAATCACAAAATTTTAAAACATTAAATTTACCATTTTTGAGTTAAAGGGCCTCAGCTTTTCAATGGTTTTAATGTGAAATGGGGAAATAAATGACAAACTTCACCTTTTAAAGGACTGACTTTCTAATCTACACTAATAATCCACGCATTTTAATAAACTTTAAATCAAAGTAATCAGTTTTGACATACAAAGCTAAATTTTACGAACATTTTTGCTACTTAAAATATTTCAAGGACAGATTGAAGCGACTCTGCACTCAACAAAATAGTCAACTAGTTTGGTTTATTGATTTGTTTCAAGTGCACCTTAGGGGTGAGAAAAAAGGACCTAGTACTTTTCAGATTTGTAAACAAAAATAAAAAGACTGTTCGAAAAAGTGTTGGTAAAAATGAAACATTTCGCCAGTTCGGCTTTAGCCGCAAATTGCTCCCAACCAGGATGAGTTCAAAATAGCTAGGCCTTAAAGCCTCAACTCTCAAGCTGACGAAACCGCAAGTAAACTTGTTACATTTTATTCGTTTTTTATTCCCAAAACCCAGTTTTAAGTGAAACCTACAACTCTCGGCAGCATAAAAACATTACTCATTGCATATCTTTTTAATAAGTCGGACTTTAGCTTTCCTTAAATGAGGCTAGCACAGGTGGTCGATAAAACGACAGTTTACACACACAAAAAAATCAATAGGCTAAAACACAATACCCATGTAAAGAGCAAATGAACTCCTACTGTACAACACATTCAGCATAGAGTCTACATTTCGTTTTACATTTATCGCAGTATCCGTGTTAGCACAAGCGGCTAGCTACGTTTACCAGACGACTTTTTCCGACAGCTAGCTTAAACTGCTACAAAAACTTATCAACGGCCAAATAGGAAGTTGGGCTAAAAAGAACAGTCATTTAACGAGCAGGTACTCTTTACCACACAGCCGCGTCAACCGTGGTGGGACCACTGCTCAGAGATGTTGACTCACAATGTGTTTTTCAGGAGAAAGCCTCCGATTCGCCCAGAAAAAACTTCCAAAATATTTTGAATTGACTAAAGCACGTTGTCGGGGAATCCCACTTTAAAAAAAACAAAGGAGGATGGGTGAGAGTTTATCTTCAAGTACGGTCCAATCAGAGCGTAGAAAGAGGAGGGACTTATGTTTGTGGTCCAATCAGAGAGCCGGCTGCTGTGTGCAGGACCAACCAACATTGCTACCCAGTGCTAAAGCGTTCCTAGATGTTTTTCAATCCTGGTACCGAAGGCACACAGCAGCACCGGAGGTTTTAGCTAGGAGGTTCTCTAAATCAGTGTTTCCTCAACTCTGGTCCTCAAGGCACACTAACATGCATGTTTTAGATGTTCCTCTGCTTCAAACACATCCCATTCAGATGACTGCAATTCAGCAAAACCCTGTTAGTCAGCCATCTATTGAAATTATGTGTGTTGAAGCAGGGAAAGGCATAAACTTGCAGGCCTGCCTCCCCCCAACGTTTAGATGAGTCTCTGCAGCAGCACACTCCAGTCAAATGATGAGGACTCTGGAGAACATGACTTCATAATGACATGATTCAGAAATTTCATTCAGCTGTGTTGGATTGTGTAATCCTGTTTGTTTTTAATAAAATCCTGATTAAAAGTCAGCCCACAACTGAGATAATGCAGCATAACTTTATGAAAGTTATAACATTATAACATTATATGCATTATAACTTTGCAGTTATGCTGCAGGTGGAATTATAATGCAGCATAACTTGATAAAGTTATGCTGCATTATAATTCCACCTGGGATAAAAAGAACTATTTAAATAACTAATTTAGAGAAAATTGTGACATTTAAGGCTATAATGTAAACAAGTATGTTTAGAGCTCATTATACTGTATTGGTATTGTGGGGTCTTGGTGTCAGACTTGTTTACAGTCGAATGGATACTAAAATAAACATGTAAAAGGACAGCTATGTGAAATTCTGCAAAACCATATTTCCAAAATGATGCTGCACAGAGTGGGATGTTTTGTGGATCTTCTCTCCCCCTAAAATTAAAGTATTCAGTTACAAAAACTAAAAATTAACATTGCATATATAATATGTGGGAAAAGCATATTTTCCAATCCTCCCATATCAAGAATTTTTTTGGAAAAAAAAAAAAAAAGAAAGAAAAATCACCATAAAAACCAGGTGCTATTCAGCATAATATATTGCAAAATACCTAAGTTGACATCCGCTTCTTGCACGTTGCTACTTATTGAAATCTTTTAATTTTCTGTTCATGCAGGATGGATGATGTCACCTCCCATCAATTACCTCTTCAGCTGTAAGAAGGAACTTCAGCTGCAGTTGCACGGAGCCGTTTGTGTAACGCTGCTGGTGTCTGGTCAAAGGTGGAGTCACGCCCACAGAGTCCTGTCCCAGTCTTGGATCGCATCTATCTCTCTGAATGCAAAGCGTTGATTAGTTCCACTTCGGGGGGACAGCTGGATGTTTGACCTTTAGTGAAAGTGCTGATGGAGCCACAGAGTCGTCTCTGAATCCGTTCCAGGACGGCACAGACACTCATAGATACAATGGTCATGGCTAACAGACCATTAGTTTTATTTTTATAACGCTGTTGCATAAGGCTGTAATAATCCCTTGCCAAGTGTAATTCAATACTTTAGTCGTCATTTACCACATGGAGGCTCTGAAAGATACCCAGACTTTAATTTGCTAACCTCCATATTCAATGCCGTTATGAAACTTCATAACCCATGATGAAAATATACTTTTATTAAAACTAAACCTTTAATTTCTGCTTCGCTCTGCAGGTCCATCTGGTTGTGTCCGGTTTCCTCCTGCAAAAAGAGAACAAATTTCCTTTTATTTTAGGGATGCAACAATAAATATATGAACAAAAAATTATATTTTTTGTTCATTTTGTTCAAAAATTATATTTTTTGTTCACTTACAGAAAATGTAAATGAACAGTTTACAGAAAAGTATTTAAGTCACAGGAAAGTCTTTGTATTAAGTAGAAGTAAATCCACAAACTTCAATGAATTTTCTATTGGATTTCTGTGTGACAGATCAAATCAGTGCATATGGAGAGGATAAATAATGATGCATGGTTTAAAAATTTCAGTTTAAAAATGTCAGATATTGTATTCAGGTCATTGTCACTCTTCTACTTCTGAATAAAATTCAGTGCAATTAATCTTATTTTCAATAAATATAACCCAACTGTGGATAATTTCATCTCAGTTTTAGAAGTCCCTATTTTTATTTTCACTCAAAAATACATTACCTTTAGACATAGTTTTTTGTTTATTTCTATTATTTACATTTCAAGACTGTATTTAAAGAAAAATCAACTCGCTGAACAGAATGTGGCCGTAAGCTGAGGTCAGGCCGCTCCTCCCAGACACTCATCAGTCAGACTGTTGTGGCCCGACTCAGAAACTCAACAAAAAAGAAGAAATATCTTGCAAAAGTTTTAAAATGTTGAAAATATTTCACTCAAGTTACGTTTAAAAATCAAAGTTTCTAACCTAAGCTGTGAAAATGGGTGACTTCAGGGCCTCACCAGCTGTTTCACATCACAATCAGGAGAGCTGCATAGCAAACGAAAATTCCCAACTTAACCACAAGGAGGGGCTGTAACATATCCCCTCCAAAAACCAACCGCGATGTGTTTCAGATCTTCGACCTGTTGGAATTTTTAACTGTGTCCAACATTCAAAATGTGACCCAGTCTGTTATCCTCAGAAGAAATTAAGTTAGTTAAAAATGGTTCGGGATAAGACTCCTTCTAACAACTGGAAGCGACTGAAAAATCAGTGTCACAGTCCACAATGAGGCCGGTTCCGCTCCAACAAGGACTCCTGAAAATTAGCACCAGCCACGTGGATCAACAAATGCAGTTTGGACCATTTCCACAGTCAAAGGACACAAATATTTAGGTATTTTTCCAAAACTCCATTCATGTTTTTGCTTTTAAAGTTTGCTTTTTAATTTACAAGCCTCCAAGTCAGAATTGTGACTTTTTTTTAGAAATGTTATAACCCATGTTGAAAATATTATTTTATAAAAACTAAACCTTTGTTTAGTTTAATAAACTACTCACCATCACGATGGGGGATTTTTCATCTTACAACCAATCGACCGGAGCTCAATGTGACGAGTAGTTCTCCTGAGGTAGACAGGTTGTCGGTGTGATTCCAGTTTTCTCCCCATCAAATGTCGATCTGGTACTTCAGTCCAAGTTGCCTCCATGAATATCACTGAATTACAATATGTGCTTTTGCTAATATAGCCGAATGTATATGGGTTCAGTGTAAAACACTTTGAGTTTTCAGTATCGCCTCAAAACTCTCATGTAAATTGAGTTCATTAGCATTTACCAGTCAATGCACAATTTTAAATTATTTCTACCTGTCCATGTATGAAGAGTGGTGAAATATCCAGCTGGATTTATGAAAAAAAAAAAAAAAAAAAAAAAACATGCGGTCAGATTATAACTTGATCACAAACATTTGGACATTTATCTAAAAAAAGAGGATAAATGTGGATTTTCGACTGGAGAAAATGCACAATAATTTCCAGCTTATGAAGTTGCTTCCTTTACAGTCATCCCACCTTAAAAAAAAAGCGGGGGGTGGGGGGGGGTTGAGTTAAAACATTACCATGATATTCATGCATATGGTAAGGAGGAACCTCTACATGGTACTGGACATGTATTTCTAGCAGTAGGACATAATAATCAGGGCAGAATGTCAGCACCTGCTGTCCGTCACATGACTCGATATACTGTACCACAATTTTGAACCAGCTGACCCCAACCATCCACAGAAAACTCTGTAACACACACACACACACACACACACACACACACACACACCTTATATATAGGTCATGACGAGCAGGAACATTATTTACACATGCTGTTTCTGTACATCACTAGACGGCGGTCACATGGTGCATGTTTATGGCGGTGTGATGTTCTTGGCCGGCGTATAAAACCCCCGGCTGTTCCTGCCTCCAATTAAAACGAGCAGAGTGACGGGTTCCAGTGGAAACGTATCCCGTTATCAAAGTCTGTTCTTGTTCTTGGCCGTCTCTGTATGAATTCATATGATCTCCTCTGGAAGACCAGCCGGTCTCGTTCTCCTCCTGGGCGGCTGCACACATAAGCCTTCAAACTATGCCGGCAGGAGGCTCTTCGCCACACTGCTGACGGTGTAAAGTTTCTCTGCATTTAGTTGGAGTCACACATGACTCGGCTCGGTGGGGTGGGGGGGGGGGTGGGGTCAGGTTGTTTCACAAAAGGGGAAAAGCAAACACCAGAGGAAACAGCGGTGCGCAGTGAATAGATGGATTTACGTTGGTGGGGGTGTGTGTCTGCCTGTAAAGACGTTTGGCAAATGCCTTGCACACACCCCTTTACTCCCAAAGTTGTGTCCAACCACACCCACGCTCCTAATTCAGGTGCCGTGGCCCAGATTTAGAGTGCACCTGTTGCCTGCTGGGGGAGGATTGAGCTTTGTTGTACATGACAGACAGGGATCAGCAGCGAAGGGGGGCGCTGTAGAGAGGGGTGGGGGGGGGTATGTGACCTCTTTGGCATGTGATCTGAAATAGAAAGAGATTTAAACCTGTCGGGATGAAAGACAATAGCAGAGATGAGCCCTTTTTCGCTGTTGAATCACCCTGAACTATTCTCAGCAGATTTTGGTAATTTTATCTCCAAGAATCAAATTTATGATGTATTTGTTTAGGAGAGGGAGTCTTTTTTTTTTTAAATTAAAAGAAAGAAATTCATAAAATACTCCGGATGCTATTCAATAAAAATAACTTATATTTGAAGCGCCATTAAATACTCAATACAGGTAAGCTGACCTCCTGCACAGTGATTCACGATGGACGTCACCCTCTCACATTTAGGGGAACAAACTGCATAAAAACAGACTGACGCTATTCAGCAGATATGATTCATTATCAAACAGCACCAGATAAACACAATCTTTACATAATGATTCATGACATCCATCCTCAGAAGACCTCAGTGTTGGGGCCACTCATTCACATCAGTCCACATTATGTGAACAAGTTTGATTTAAAAGAAGTCTTTGTTTTGTTAAGCATGAAAACTTGTGACAAACGACATTCATAGGGCAACTCAAAGTAGTGTATGATGGGGATGTAAAAGGAAACAAAAAGATAGTTTTAGATTTAAAAAAAAAATCCAAGAAGTGTTACTTGCATTGAAATTCAGCCAACTTTACTCTGTTAAAGTCCTTAAATAAAATAGGACTCGTTAAAAACGATTATTCCTCAGAATAAATTCACCAGAGTTTTGCTAGAGAACAGTTCACCTGGAAGTTGCCTCCCCTTCCCACAATGAGATTCTGCTCAGGACCTCATGTAACCTTGGGCCGGCCCTGGGTCTCCCCTCCAGCCAATGACAGTTAAGGTCAAGACAGCTTCCTGCTTACGTCTCGACCCCTCTCCCTCTTCCCTTCCTCCCCCCTCTTCCTCCCCACCCCCCCCCCCCGCTACCCCCACCTCCTGCGTTTACGAAAGAGAATGCCCGTTTGCGCACGGCTGTCACTCTATCCGAGCTGGACGGACAACACAAACTTTGTACGGACGAGAGGACAACCTGCGCTCCGGGGCGCAGCAGATTTCTACCCTGTTCGGGGGGTTTTCTCCTTTGGATTAAACACATTTGCTCCGTGTATTTTTTTGTTTTCGCTGCTGATTGTTTGAGTCGGAGCTCGTCTCCATTTGGCACCAGACGCATCTGTCACCATCTGCAACCGAGTGCCTAAAGCTGTCAAAGTCATGCCGGCCGGGTTTCAACAGCTCGGAGGGGAGGTAATCTTTATTCTTCTCCTTCTTGCTTGCTTTTAAGCGACAAAAATTATGGGTGTCCTAAAGGGAAAGTGTTTATTTTTAACCCAGCGAGTGCGCATTTCAACTGGAACATTTTACGCACGTATATTTAGGATGTGGCCCAATCAAATTCACTCTTAAGGTATCTTACAGTTTTGAGTTTCGTCGACTAAAACAAGTAACAAAAAAGTGACAATAAGTTGATATTGGATAATATTTAAAAATGTTTAATCCAATATTTGTTTTTACTTCACTTTAATGGCGACTTTGAATACTCAGTCTGTTCTGAAGGATTTTTCTGTCTTTAAAAGAAAAATATCTGACCTTGAAATGTCAAACATCTGAGTTTATCGATCACAGCTAATTTTAGGGGGCTAGGGGGGAGAATCAGAGTATAAATTTGGGGAGGAAGCATTTCTGGAGCAATTTTGGGTCATACAACTACCAACAGAAGTCAGGTGTAATGTTCTCCAAAGCATCAGCTCCTATAAAAAGACTAAGTCTTAGGGAAAGTTTTTATAGCAATTATTTATAGGACCAGCAGGCAGTTGGTTGAGCAGCAGATCAGAGGCACTTTAATGTTATAATATAATAATAATTAATAATATGATTAGTAAGTCTTCTAGGAGTCTGACATTGCACTGGTTATATTCTGGCCACTGCTCCTTAATGAACTACAAGGTACTTCGTGGTGCTTGCGGTGATTTTCCACGCATGAAGCATTATTTACCTCTACACACAAGGACACACGCGTTCACAAACGCACATTCCTCTGTTTTAGTCTCTAAATGCCAAACAGCGCTCATTTAGAGACTCAACACAGCAAGGTCGAATCTGACTCTTTGGTAAATGATTAACAGAACAGAGTGCAAGAAAAATAGATGATTGGATCTGAGAATGAAACCTGGCGTCACCGTTTCACCAATGTTCCGACGTTTTCTCTCGTTCAACAATACAATGACATGTAAATGATTGTTCAAGTGTCACCAGTGGATGCTTTGCGCTCTTTCTTTCACACCAGATCAAAATGTTACCCTTTTTTATGAGGTCGTGTTGTTCCGTCATGGCTCCAGAGTTTTCCGTTCAACCAACGCCGCCTCCCCGGAGTTTCGGAGGAGACGACGCAAAATGCACGAAAGATTAAGGCGTCGTTTCAGTGTCAGATATCTTACCTCTTTGTTTTATCGGTTGAACTCTCTCTGTGGGTTGCGGACCTCGAGTCCCCAAGGTCATCTCATCTGTCACCGCGCAGACAGGTGCCCGGGGCCTGACGGGAAACCGGAGGGTAGTGAAAGTTCAGGCGCGTGGGCAGTGTACTCGTGGACCACACTGGAGGGATTGTTTCTGGTCAGGATCAAGCTTATTTATAGACAACGTTAGCTAAGTGTTGAAACTAATCCTAACTGTTTAATTAAAGCTCAGATCGCACCTCGACGCACTCCTACGTAACGTACAGACAGAAGACGGTTCTGATACGTACTGAGCAGTCGGTGCAGCGGGTTTGTTGGCGGCCGTTCAGAACCTGTGATGTGAAAACCTACCAACTGAGCTGCTGCGTTATCCAAAGTTACAGCGGTTACTCTTTTTTAGCTCTGTGCAGGACACGGTTTGGTAAAAGTGTCTTTCTAGGCCGGTCACGATAACACATTTTCTGGACGATGAATTGATCCAGAAGTTATTGTAATAAACGATAATATTGTTGTTTCGAGACCATTTTTAAGTAATATTGGTGGTAATGGCAAAATAATAATGCAAGGACACATTCTTCTCGAAGATCAGTAAAGTTTAAATTCTAATGAACATTTAACACTGGAACTGGGAGACATGTTAAATATCCAAATTAATATAATAAAATAACAAATAAAATCAATTTTGAAGTCTTGGTAAACAAAATTGCCCTTCAAAACAAGGGCTGGCTGAGACCAAAGCACCAAACTGAAGACTTTTATCCTTCAGTTTTTGGTAGACAGACAGAAAAAAAGAGATAAACGATAAATCATGCCAATGGAAATGATTGAGTTTGTTTTAATTTATCATGCAATTAATTGATTTTATTGATTATTGTGACAGGCCTACTCAACTCCCTGCATGCTCACACTCAAACACACAGTGCAGCCGCTGGATAAGAAATGCAATCTGGGAAAAGTCTCTATTATTTTTAATTAATCTATTTATTTATTTTGCTCCATTCCTGCAAAAACTGGGCCTCAACAAGGAGGTTGAATAACAGACAATGAAGCAGCTGTGCAGGTTAAGAGCTAAATTTCTTTTCCTGCAAACATGCACATAATGCAGCATGCCTCAAGACCGATGCTTGGCAACGAAGAAGAAAGTTGCTGAGCATTTGGTCTCAGTTTTTTCTATTTTTTTGGACTCTATTCACACATGTAAACTGTGTAATGTGCATAATACGCAGAGGCCGGGCAACAGACTATAACACCAAGTGGTGCACTCTGGTAAAAGTTGCAATTTTTTCTATATAATTTCAATAGTGTAAGATTGTACAGTTTAATGGACTTTAAAATAGGACGGCAGTGATATGTATGGAAAACTACATAAATCAATCAAGCACTGCTTTATTGGTTAATCCAGTGGATAATAAATATATTTTCAGCCAGAAGTAAAAACACACAAAGCATGTGGACTTAAGGGTAAGACAAGGCTGTGTTTTTGTTTTTTACCTTCTAATACTGCTGGCAGTACTTGTACCAAAAATAATTTGCACAGACAACAACACCTTGCCGTTTGAGAAGCTTAGAGAAGCTCTCAGCGTTGTCTCAGTGGAGCAATCTGATCGTTGTTGAGTCGTCGACATTGTGTCTCACTAGTAATGCAGTGAAAACTTAACTTAAAACTTTATATTAACTTTTTATGCATTTGTCCATTTTCATTTTTTTCTTAGCGAAAGAAATCAGGTGGGACGTCTAATTTCTACAATTAATCATAGTAGTGTGGCTAAGTGAATGTCTTTTTTTGTGTTTTTTTTATTTGTTTCTCCTGCAGGTGGTGACGGGAACCCTCGCTCTATCAGTTTTCACTGCTGTTCTGGGATCACTGACGTTCGGATACAACATCGGAGTCATCAATGCACCGCAGAAGGTAAAAAGCATAAATCCTACTAACCAGAGGCATTTGAGTACCCAGAAATCTAACCAAGTAAGGGTAGGACTACTCAAGCAAAAGTAAAAAGTAACCAAATAATAAGTCAAGTAAGAGTAAAAACAAAAAAAAAAAAAGAAATACTGAGTAATTGATCATAACATCTAGTAAGTAAAGTTTATTTATAAAGCGTTTTTATAGACAAAAAGTCACAAAGTGCCGCACAACATAAATCAGAACTAAGTCAGACAAAGTATAAAAACAGTGAAGTTACTTACCATGGGCATAGCATCCAAAATTTTCACTCAAGTGCAAGTAGAGCAACACTTCATAACAATATTACTCAAGTAAAAGTTAAAAGTAAAAGCAGATTTTTTTTTCTCCAAAATGATACTCAGGTAAATGTAATTAGTTACTACTGTTTTGGGTATGAATTTTCTGCAGTGAATCAGTTCCTCTCGGATATTTCATAACTCACTGATAAAAGATAATTAAAGTGATATGACTATGTGTCTTTAATAGATTATTATAATAGATTATTAATAGATTATATCTACCAGCAGGATGCTGTTTGGACTTATTTTAACGTGAAACTCATGTTTCACATTGAAGTGGCCCAAACAACAATCAACAGAGTTAAGATGTATATAAAACTTTCTGAAAACTATAGACAATTAAAGGCAGCAAAATCCCCCAAAACAATCTTAAATTTACAGCCAGAGACGCAGTTGAACGGTTAGATCAAAGCACATGCATGTGTTAGAATGGCCTAGTTAAAACCTGAGCCTAAATCCAGTTAATCTATGACAAGAGTTAATGTTCACAGATGTTCTCCGCCCACCAACACTTGTTCAAACACATTTTAGCTGCTAAAAAAAAAAAAAAAATGCTTCAACACAGTTGTACGAAACATGAGAACGCCATAATCTCTTTGTTTCTCATTTAACGAGCTGAACAGATGTAGTTTCATAACAGCAGACATCGCGTTGTTGTGGTTTGCGACCCAGCCCCGTCGCCCCGAAATGTCAACTTTCCAGGAGGTTTTGTTGTTGCCACGATGCCGCCGTGTTTTTCTGCTTATCCTGCAACTTTGCACAGACTCTCTCTTTACCTCCTGATCTTACAGGGTGGCATGTTTGGAGCCACAATATTGCCCATATTTGGGAAACAGAAAGGTTTTCTGAGTTCATCCAAATGAGATAAAGTAAATATGTCAAGAATCGCGTGGAAGGATAACAGTGTTGAAAGTATGGAAATACAGCAAATGCATTTGGATATATGTATAAAAACACAATTTTATTTCAGTTTATTTGATGATGAGATAAAAAAGTCTGTCATATTTTAAAAAAGAAACATAATCTCTAAGTTACATTCTCTACACACCACATGCTGATTTTTTTTCCCACCACATTTGGGGCTTTGGCAGTGCTGACTGAAAACTTCACCAAGAATAATTTCTGAACATGACCTGAATTGTGCTGTTTCATTAAGGGAAGTTTTTGCAAAGTGACTTGCAGCCGGTCCATAAACAGTTCAACCTGGTGCTTCAGAGAGAGTTGAGAGCAGAGGGACGAACGCGAGGCGTGGTTTGGACCCGGCTGCTGGTACTCAGAGAGCTGCTGTCGCTAAACCTGGTTTACTGTAAACACAACAAAACAACAACACAGTAACACAAACTCTGCTGTATTTTGGTTCCATTTTGTTGGTCACATAAGTAACGCCATCAAATTTTAGCTTCGTTTAATTTATTGGTGAATTTGTGATAAAAACAAAACAAAATTTTAAATGAGTGAATTCTGTGTTAGAGGATTTTATTCTCACAATGAAAACATTTAGAAAACTAATATGACATACTGCTACTAACATTACCACAGAGGTTTATTTCTCTCTCTTCTTCAGTATGGGAAAGACAGCAGAACATCCTACTCAAGTCAGGCAGACGTGTTTTAGTCCAAAAAGTCAGGAGAGGCTTCCAAGACAACTTTTTAAAACTTGCCCATTTCTGCCACAGCAGAAATGCTTGAAAAGTTTAAAACAACTGAACCTGTGGAAGGAAACTAAGGAAGGTAAAATAAATCCTCAATGCTTTGTCTGCAACATCTAACACCTTTTAGATGCTTTCTACATGCCAAAAGTTTTTTTTTTCTCTCCTACCATCACAAACATAAAGGTGGTGCTTGTCAAAATCTACTGGAACTTTAACTGGAGCAAAAATTAAATAAATTCAACTCAGTTGTATTTTTTACAGCACCACTCACAACAAATGTTATCTTGAAGAACTTTACAAAAATACTTTTAATTCGATCACACAATTGTTCCAATTGATCCTTGTTATCAAACAGTGCAGTAAGCTCAAGTAATGATTCAAAGTATTTTAAAAAGTTTCTGTCTAAAGAAATCCAGCAGACTGAATCCAGTCAAACTTTGGTCAGGTGAGACTAAAATGAAGCTTTTAGGTGACAAAAACTCCAGTTATTGAAAAGCATCTAATGCCTGTTGTTGAGTAAAATGGAAAAACTGTTTCTTGCAAAATCAGCCTTGTTGGAGCAGATTGCACCGTGGTTGGTGGTCTTTGACAGAGTTTATTGATCCAAACGCCTGCAGGAGGACGAAGTGGTTTGATGGTTTGTCTTTTTGTAATGGTTTAGTCAGTGCGTCATTTAACAGAAATAATTATGCAAAGCACATGAACAAAGATCTCTCAGTGTGTTAATGTTGACTCTGAACGTCCCCTGCAGATCATTGAGGAGGACTACAATGCGACGTGGATCCATCGGTACGGAGAACCAATCCCCTCAGGGACCCTCACCTCCCTCTGGTCGCTGTCTGTGGCCATCTTCTCCATCGGGGGCATGCTCTCCTCCTTCTGCGTGGGCTTCATCTCAGAGTGGCTGGGCAGGTAGGAAAACACAATATTCTCCTCCCTGAATGGCTCACGACTCCAAGAGTTAGAAATACGTAAAGTTGGGATGCGGCAGAAACTTCTAAATTGGGTTTATGTTTTAGGTGTGACATCATTTTCTAGACTGGAAGACGGTTGGTTTTCAAGCAAAGTGAGGGATCTTTTATTGCCGCTAAAGCTTTTTTGAGCTTCACATCATGTTATAATGTCGTTCCCTCCTCATAAACACACCTGAAGTGTTGCTTTGATTCTTTCATGCATATTTGGAAAATCCTTCAATCTCCTGTGGAAACCATTCGGCCATCCAAAACGCCTGGGTGGACCTAGCCCCGCCTTCAAGGCACAGCTCCTCCTCAGAGTCTCAGTTTCCAAGCCAAGCTTCTTCCTCACAGAACAGATCTCCCTCTGTTCCTTCAGACTAGCCAGCAGCAATTAGCAAACAGCAGGTGGAACTGTGATACTACTCAGTGCAACGGTAGAAAAGACATTGCTAAAGGATTCATAGAGGAGCCGTGTTATGACTGAAGGCGGTGTGTCAGAAACAGCAAGAGTTTCTTTAAGTGACAAAGGCCCAATTTCAAAGCACTAAATTAGGAAGTAAAATTTCTCTTATAGTCATATTTGATATATATATATATATATATATATATATATATATATATATATATATATATAT